GATTATCCAAAATAAAATGAAAGATTTGAATATTTTATCTGTATAATAGATTTTGCCTCTAGATTTCATTTATCCCTAAGACTGAAAAATAAATATTTGGTAACTACTGAACCACCTATATGGCAGCACCAAGCTGACTTTGACCAATTCTGGAAAGATATACAGGGCCAGAACTGGTTATACTTGGATGGCAGTTATGGACAACTTGGCTATCCCAAGCTTATAGCCTACACTGAGGATTTGAGGCAATGAAAGTAAGTCCAACCATTTCCCAATCATGCCAAGAGAACTGCACAGACATGGACATGTAGTCACCAGGAGCTGATGCAGACTCAAGGGAGACTTTATCTTTGAACTATAAACAGATGTTGATTTTGCCAACAGAATAACAGGCAATTCAGTTCAGACTCCAATTTATAAGGTCAGAAATGGAGGAAAGACCGATGTGTTGGTGGAATTAGCATTTAGTTTAAAAGCTTTTTATGCACATTAGTGGGAAGAATCCAAAACCAATCCTAACCAAAATGTTAGCTTTCACCTTAATAAATAGCTAGTGCAGAAGATCTAAAAGCTAAAATGGTGACATAAACGTAGGAGTGAAAAAGAGGGACAGATCACAGGGAAGAATGCTTAGAGATATACTAGCTTTATAAAAAAAGGTGACAGAAAGGCTACAGCCCAGAATGATACTTGGCAAATGATGCTAAGAACAATAGAAAGATAGATATGCTGAAAATAACAGAAAAATATGCTGAAAATAAAAAGGAAGTTACTTCAGATATGCTGAAAATAAAAAGGAAGTTACTTCAGATATGCTGAAAATAAAAGAAAGAGAAAAAAGTCTTATCAGCTGTTGTATGGAAATAACAAAATGTAAACAAAAAAAAAAGGCAGAACTGCAGTATTTCCTATTTCAGCTCAGATACTTGCATTATTCCCTAGAGTGGCACTGTGCCTATCCTAGTGTCACTGTGGATCAGCCAAATGGATTTCTTTCCAGTTCAACAGCCCAATATCTGTTTTGCAGTCTGAAACACTGGCAGTTTTACAATCTAACAAAGTTAGTAAAAAAATTAGGTAAGATTAATTTGATAAGACTTAGTCTTGACAAATTGAGCTGACTTCTGGTAATTACTGCATGAGTTCTGCACAGAATCTAGAATTTCAGACTAACCAGTCTGTAGCTCCACGGCTCCTCTCCCTGCCACCCACCCTTGAATATGGACACATTTGCCCTCCTCCATTCTTCCAGCATTTTACCCCAAGATATTCTAATTAGCAAGCTATTTAAGTTGGGCTGGATGGCATGACAATTATGTGGATATATAGATGATTAAAAATGCTCTGAAAGGTTGCTGATATCTGGATGGAAGTACTGAATGGGTGCCACAAGGTTCAGTCCCAGGACCTGCATTGTTCAACACTTCTATTAATCACTTAGATAAGAAGGTGGAGAGAATGCTTATCAGATTTGCAGATGGCACAAAACAATCTTGATAGGTTACAGAAATGGTCTAAGAGTGGCAGAATGAAATTTAACAAATAGAAATACAAAATGTTATTCACCAAGGAAACAAAAATCAAATTAATAGGTGTAGAATGAAAGCTATCTTGTAAATAACACTCATGAAAAGGATATTGGAATAACTGATTACAAAGTGAGTCAAATAGTATTATGTGGCTGTCAAAAAAGGACAAATGCTATTTTAGGTCAGATCAGCAGAAGCATAGTTTCTAAATCAAAGGAACAGTTCCACTTATTCTTCATTGGTGAGTACATCTTCAGTATTTTGCCCAATTTGGGGCATCACATTCTGGCCATTTTTCCACTAAAGACATACAGCATCTTCTAAAATCACCCAGCCATCACTAAATCAATAGAAAGCCTGTCCTCCTTAGTGTTATATCAACATAACAATGGTTGGATGACTCTAGAAGATGCTCTAAGTCATTAGTGGGAATCCTGCCTAGAATTCAGATAAACTGAAAGAAGTTCAAAGAAGGGTAATAAGGTTCATAATCCAGGGACTAAAAGCTAAGTGCTGCAGAAAGAAATCGAAGGAGATGGAATGTTTAGTCTTAAGAAGAAAAGACTGAGGGAGAGTTATGATAACTTTTTAAGTACTTAAAAGAAAGGTAAACACTGTACCCCATCATCCAGAGACAGGATACAGAATATAAGACTTAACTGCTGAATGTTAGGAAGCATGTCTCAAGAGCCCTGTGACAATAGAATCTATTACCTAGAGGAAGGGCAAGTTCCCTTCTCGTGTATGTATTTAAGCAGGGGCTGGGCAGCCTTCTGTCATGGATTCTTTAATTTGGATTCTTGCACCAACCAGGCAGTCATATTTGATGGCTTAAATGGCCACTTTCATAATTCTATTACTCCTTTTTGCTGATACATATCCATCCTACACACGCACATACACAATACAATACACATAGCATGTATTACACTGGAAATGAATACTTTTTTTCCAGGTGAAGGGTCACATTTTGTTTCTACAGAATGTTTAAGGAGCTACCTATGGAGAGGGGAGAGAGAATGAAGATAGATGTTTAAATCCACCTTTAAAATCAATTGATTTCTCCCCTTCCCAATTGATCTTTAAAATGAATAATTGCCCTTTTTATATGTTAATGTTATTTTACCATCTGACTGACTGACTGTCTGACTCAATGATCACTGAGTTTTCTTGACTATGGAAGCCAAACATCTGCTAGAAGACACAGAGGCATTGAGAGTCAGTTGTTGGAAAGAAGGAAGTTACAGCTATCAGTGATTGCAGTTGGAATACAACAGTAGAATAAAAAAACAAAGGCAAGGGGGGTCTGGGGCCACATCTAAAGCTTATGTGCAGCTGGCAATTGTGTATCCCCAGAATAAATGAAAAGCTATGACAGCTAGTTTGGTGTAGTGGTTAAGGCAGTGTTTCTCAACCTTGGCAACTTTAAGCTGTATGAACTTTAACTCCCAGAATTCCCCAGCCAGCATGCCAAGCTGAGTGACCTTGGACCAGTCACTCTCTCTCAGCCTTAGGAAAGAAGCAATGGCAAACTACTTCCAAAAAATCTTGCCAAGAAAACTGCAGGGACTAGTTCAGGCAGTCGCCAGGAGTCAACAATGACTTGAAGGCACCAAAATTCTTAAATTATTCATTTCTTTGAGGCTACCTAGTAAATCCTAATTTACTTTGATGTGAATTCCACTTAATTCATTGGAACTTACAGTATTTCTGAACACACATATAGGGCTGTATCAGTTGAGTTTCTAGTTGATGTCTTATTCTCATTTATCTTTTTGCTATATGTCGCAATGGTAAATAATATCTGCCTCTCCTTCTCTATACTCAGACTTGGGCATTGAGTATACTGAATGTTGACCAAGGACTATGACTGTAGATGATTTAATACTACTCACCTATGGATCATTCAAAATACTAAGGGAGATAAAAAGGGTATTACATTGGCTATTAGGAATAATGCCTTTTTAAAACCATAACACAGAAAGATAAAAACCAGTAGAAAATTGACAGATACCAATATTGTTAATGTCTACAGGAAGAAAGCAGCAAATTGGAAGGTGTCTCTAGATATCACCACAAAGGTTTCTGCACTAGTGATTTATAGCATCACCCTGCCGTTCCTGGCTTAAAATAGGCTTTATGTTGCCACAGGAATGGCTGGGTAACACTATAAAACATTTGGGTGGATATGCTCAAAATGAGTGGGCAGGCTAAAAATATTAAAGCACTAATATGCAAATGCACCTCAGAAACAAAAATACCTGTTGTCTATTTTTAAAGGAGGGCCGATCTGAGAAACAACATCTAATATTGTATGTTAGTATCTTGGCAAACTGTTGACAAACTGTGTGTTACTGTGGGAAAACTCTTTTTGAAGGTAATTCCTCATGCACCAGATGAAGCTGTTTTCACAAAAACCTATGTCATAAAAAATGATGACTCTTAAGCATGAGACAAATTCCTTTAAATATGTTATCCCTTTAATATCCATCTGTAGCCTATTGGTGTTGTCTCTGCTTAGTTACAACTTTTAGGCAAAACACCCTCCATTATTGCAACATCACAGCCTCTTGTCTTAAGCCAGGATCCTTACCACTATGATGGGTCAGTGGGTGGGAACCTCTTCAGTGTTTGCTTAACACAGCATTTCTCAACCTTAGCCATTATAAGACCTGTGGACCTCAACTCCCAGAATTCCCCAGCCAGCATCCAACTGGGGAACTCTGGGAATTGAAGTCCACAGGTCCTAAAATGGCCAAGGTTAAGAAACACTGGCTAACAACTTCCAAGCCCAAGCCAGGACAGGGAAGCTGGGAATTTGGAGAAATCTGTGTTCTCCACCCCGCGCTAGAAAATGGGCATCTGCCCACTGGCTTTCCCTCACCGTTACAGATCCTACTCCGCTGAGCTGTACTGTATTAAAAGAAGCCTGTCTGAAACCGGGCTTCTCACGCCGGAACTGAACTCGAGTTCCTAGAGTTTTGGCATCCCCTTAGACGGCTCTAACTATTTTAGAATTCAAAGCGAGTTAAGGCCACCTTCTACGAAGGCTGGGCTTCGCCTTGAAAAGCGTAAACTTTACGAATGTAATCTCACGGATACGTCGGGGGAGGGAAAGAAAATATCCGCTCGTGACAAGCAGGTTGCGCCATTGTGGAGACAGCGTCCGCCGCACGAACCAGCCTCCCCAATCTACTGAGGAAGGAACGCAGGCAGGCAGTTCTACAATACTCGGGCCCCTGGAACGGCGGCGCATGCGCGGCTTTCCGAGTTGCCGTCTCGGAGAGCGGAGGCGGCCGCGCCGCGCCCTCTTGGTTTTCCGTAGCGCGGTAGGTAGCGGGCTGGGCTGCCTCTGGCCGGAGCGGGGGCGGGAAACGTTCTCGTTCAGGCCCCCGATCGGCCGCTCTGGGCCAACCGTGGGAAGCGGGAGAGCCAGGGTACCTCGCAATTAGGAGCTGCGCAAGGGAAAGCGAGAGCTCAGCATGTTTGAGAGCTGAGAGAGCGAGAGCAGCTGTTATCTCTTCCCCTTTGGCTGCCGCGTCTCTCGACCATCCAGCTGCTTCCTCTCTCTTTCGGGAGAAGTGGACGGACCGAGGGTGGAGCTGGCTTGGTCCTGGGCCTTCGAGCCCTCCCTGCCTCCTGTACCCTCATTTCAGTGGCCTCAAGCCACTCCCGTAGTCATCCCAACCTGCCACCTGTTTCGTTGTTCTGTTCAGAGGGGTTTGTTCTGTATCGCTTTGCTTCGCCCTCCTCACTGTCATCCTGCCCTGGCCATCGTTTAGAGTTAAGGGTTGTTTTTGCAGAGAGCTACCTGATCGGGGCTGCAAAATCCGGATGACCAGTAGATGGCAGCAAAAAGGAAATCCTGCCTCTTCTCTGTCGCCTTAATAGTTGGCCGGATTTTTGTACCCTAGATCTGGTAGCCCTGGTTTTGGTGGCTGCAGCTTTTCCTGCTACTCCCTGTCCTCCAAACCCAGTTTAACAGTTGCTTGAAGTTCAAAAAGGAGATTCATTGAAGCGGAAGACTACACTTGTTGAACTTCTGTTTAGTGAAAAATGATGTTAAGGAAAGAGGAAATGCAAAGCAAGGTTAGGCCTCTAATTCATACTTTTATTTAGTAAGGCAGAATAATGTTATTCTACTCAGTACTGAGACATTTTGTGCAGCGATCTTTAGTTTTTTAGTCCAAAATGAGCAAGGCATTAGGAAAACTTTAGTTGTGTAAGCTATCATCTGTAAATACATAAATATGTTTATTCTGCCTTTAAAGAAAAACTGGAAAAAGGTGGTAATTAAATATAACCTTAGCAATTACCAGTGACAAGTGGTGAAAATAACTCCCTTCTGCCATCTGCAGGAATTTTTGAAATTATTTTTGAAAAAACTGAAATTTCAGGCAAGAAAAAGTGTTAAGCTATGTTTTTTCTCTTGTGGAACTGATGGCTAAAATTATTTTGCTTTAAGGGTTCCAACTTCCTGACGAAGCAGTTAGAATCTTGTTATGTTTCTACGACAGGGAAGAACCACGTTTTCTAATCACGTCACCCATCGATTTGCCTACAATTTATTATGGGTGAACAGCCTTTCTCCAGCCTGATCTTATGGACTCTTTAAGAATTCACTGCATGAATGTCTTATTTGGATGATACGTTCTGGTATATTCTTTCTTTGACATCACAGTGCTGGAAAAAACAACAACTGAAGCTGAGGTAAATACTGAATTGTAATTACAACTGTAAAATTGTGTTAGAGGAAAGTTACTTTGTACTTCTTAGAAATATTTATTAATTTATTTTACTGGGCTTATAGGCCAGTCCAGTTATAAATGGTGTACATCTGTATGGTATACATCCCAGCTGGGCTAAAAACAACAATATATAAAAAGCAAATCATTAACATAATCTGTTAATCTGATCAGCAACATCAGTTGATTAAACCAAAAAAATGGGGAGGGGGAGAACATTCCACTACCAGCAGGAGCAAAATTCTAGCCCCCAAGGCTTCCTAAAACACCTATGCTTTAATGGCCTTTCTGAAACTCAGTATAGAAGGGCCTATTTGCATATCTGCAGGGTGCTGTTTTACAGAGGGATGGCAACAACTGAGAAGGTTCACTTCTATGATCCCTGGAGGTGATATTCCCTAAGTCATTATTTCTCATTGTTTCTCAACTTTGGCCACTTGAAGATTCTAATTGCTTCATCAGGACTTCATGCAGGTTGGGGAATTCTGGGAGTTGAAGTCCACACATCTTCAACTGGCCAAGGTTGAGAAACACTGCCCTAAATGAAGGGACCCAAAGAAAGCCACTTGGCCAGATCTTATAAGATAGGTAGAAACTATTGGGAGTAAGTTCCCCAGATAACTTGGTCCTGAGCCATAAAGGACTTTAAATGTGACAACTAGGACCTTGCATTGTACCAAAGAGCCAACTGGCAATCAGCGCAGCACTCAAAGTAGTGGTGTTATATGGGCAAATCAAAGCATACCTTTCAAGTTTCTGCATACTGGACCAGATGTAGATTCTGAATGCTCTCCAGGGGTAGCCCTCATAGATTATATTGCAGTTGTTCAGTTAGGTGGTGACAAAAGTGTAAGTTTCTGGAAGTAGAGCCTTTTGTTCCAAGAGGGGTCATAACTGGCACATAAAATGGGGCTGTGTAAAGGCCTTCCTGGCCACAGCTGCCACTTGCTACCTGCTCATCAAACATAATGTTCAAATTTTTAAATGGATCAGTCTTTCTGGAAGTGGTCTTTCCCTTACAGCTTTAAAGACAATTTGATACTTGGTGGTGGTTGGAAATGAGCAAGTTTCTTCCATGCTTGAAGGGCTATGAAGACTGACTACAAATAGGCGAAAACTATTATGTCAAGGTTTTTAGCACTTCAGTTAAATAGATTAGGTAATTGCATCACTTAGATGTCAGAAAGTACACTGGATTAAAGCCATAGGGCTGGTTGTTTAGCTAAAGTATAGAGATTGACTTATCCAGCCTGCCTCATCATGAGTCCTAGTACCATTGAAAATATTAAAAGTAAAATAAGAGGGTCTGTACTTGCACCTTCTTCCAATCATAATTTCTTATTAATCCTTATGTATTTGAGCATGGACAGATTAGGATTCACATGCAGGAATCTAGTATTAAAATGTTGTTGCCATGATGTAGGATGTTTATGTTTGGATCTGCTAAATGTTTTTTGAAACACTTAATGGGAACTGGTAGTTGTTTTAAGTTGTGCTTATAGTTAAATAGCTTTTGTTCAAGGTAATCTTGTTTTCTTTTTCCTGAACTGTATAATCTGTGAAATGTATTTTTTCTGCTATATTTGCTTTATAATTTCTTTTTCAAAGTAGGACAACATGATTCCTTTCCTGACTTTCGATGTTGGCCGTTCGCGTCTGGTTCACTTGTTCAATGGAACAAATGATACTTTCTCTCCAAATGGGACCTACTGTTACAGCTCTGCACGAGGAAGTACTGTACTTCAAGGAATAACCTTTGGTGGGGTCCCTACTGTCCTGCTGCTTGATGTAGCTTGCTTTTTGGTAGGTTCGTTTTATTTTTTGTAGCTGATTATTTTTCTTCCACGTTGTTGTCTCATGGCAATTTGAAGAGTGAATAAGCAGTTTATTTCATTTTGCTGAAATATATACATATAGCTTTGATGAAGAAGGGCTGCAATATTCCCCTCTTCCTGCTCTGCTAGAAGATTGCTGAAAAATAGGGTTTGCCATAGCAATTCTACTTAATCCTCTTGAATCTGAAAACTTCCACTGTAGTATCTGCCAAGCTAAAGGTAGCATCTGTTTGTTTGATTTTTTTTCCTAATGCAATTTAATACTACTCATGTATTTATTATTGCATCTTTATATCTCCAGCAGCTATAGTATTACATAAGAAGGGCATTCTTTTACCCTTTAATGCATCTTCATTACCAAATATTAGATTACTTTGTGTTGGTGTTCTACTTGATCTTGAAGCTTTTATATTGTCTAAACTAAAAATGGGTTAACATGAAGTGGAGAAAACATATAATTCAACATGAATATTAAACCTTTAATTGATACTCATTTTATTTACTTCCTAGATATTGATGTTGATATTTTCCTTTATTAGAAGAAGACTTTGGGATTATGGTCGCATTGCATTAGTATCAGAAAGGTAAAAATAAGATGTTGGTGCCTTACATCCTAGTGGGTGCTGTAGGATGTAATGATAATACAATGCCTTTTGACTGCGTAGAATTTGATCAAGTACAATAAGTTTTGTGATACTTAGAATATATCAGTATTCACTAAAACAAATTTATCCCTGCTGGTTACTAAAGAATTAAGCTTAATTCTTCTTAAAGATTAATATGCTCATAATTGGAAGGAATCTGTGTATCTTGTCATATAATAATCATTGATAGCCCTTGTTTACTATTGTAAGATGCCTTAAGTGTTGGAATAAAGAAAAAGAAGGAATATACATTCAATAATGAATCAAAATACATTATGTAATTCAGAAATGAGAACTTAAGCCTTTTGGTAATGGAATGGGCCTTAAAATGGCAGAACCTAGAAACAGTATGGGGTGACATATAATATTATGTGAACAGACTTCTTTGCTCATAAAATAGGATTTTGCCTTGTCCTTTTATGTACCCCATCTGTTCCAGAGTTAACAGTCCTTTAGAGAGGGATAGAACATGTGGAACCTGTAAGTACTGTAATGCTCATAACCCCTCAGTGGCGCATGCTGACTTTTAAAATGAAATAAAATACTATTTTTAAAAATATGAGCAAAATGTGAGCCAAATTTCTGAAGATTGTGTTCTCACATGTTTTCTCATTAATGGTTTATATATTGTATTAAGAATTTTGATTATAATAGTAAAATCTAATGCAAACTAAACTTAAAAGAGAATACAAAGAAGTAAAAAGTACAAAAAAAGAGAAGGGAAAAGTAAGAATATAATAAAAGAAATATATAAAGAATTGACTTTCAACCTTCATCACAAGTATAAACACATTTAGTGATTCTTTACCCCCTCTAAGGTAACAAACATTTACTCTTCATCCCATATCCCACTTCTTATCTATAAACAGATCCATAAAACATAACTTTTCGGTCCTGGTGTCAGCAGAAAGTCCATAAAGGGTTGCCAGAAATTACAACGTATCTTGTTTTAACCTTGATCAAATAAACCAAGTTTATTATACTCCTTTGTTTTACTTCTAACAGTCTTAATCTTTAGTTCATTCAAGTATTGTCATAGGATTTGATTTCTCTTCATTTATTCTTTGTCCCATTACATCGAATTCTTCAAGGCTTTAAGAAGCCTCTTTTGTA